TCCACTTTCACCACCGTGAAAACATTCCTCTAAAGCTATCAGTGCAAAGAAAAAAAGAGACACACCGCTCTCCGGAGGGATCGAACCTCCATCCTTTTGGTTAACAGCTGAACACGCTAGCCAATTGCGTCACGGAGATAGTCGTGTTCCACTCTCACCACCCACAGAACATTACTCCAAAGCCATCAGCGCAAAGAAAGCAAGTGACACACTGCTCTCGGGAGAGCTCGAACCTCCACCCTTTCGGTTAACAGCCGATCGCACTAGCCAATTGCGTCACGGAGATAGTCGTGTCCCACTCTCACCACCCTCAGAACCATTCTCCAAAGCCATCAGCGCAAAGATGAAAAGCAACACACCACCTGGGATAGCTGAAACTTTAAACATTTCGGTTAACAGCCGATCGTGCTAGCCAATTGCGCCACAGAGACAACCGTGCTCCACTCTCACTACCGTCAGAACATTTCTACAAAGCTATCAGCCCAAAGAAAAAAAAGAGACACACCGCTCTCGGGAGGGCTTGAACCTCCAACGTTTTGGTTCACAGCCGAACGCGCTAGCCAATTGTGCCACGGAGATATTCGTGCTCCACTCACACAACCTTCAGATTATTTCTACAAAGCTATCAGCGCAAAGAAAAAAAAGAGACACACTGCTCCCGGGAGGGCTCGAACCTCCAAAGTTTCAGTTACAGTTGTTCGCGCTAGCCAAATCTGCCACGGAAACAGTCGTGCTTCACTCTCACCACCGAGAGAACATTCCTTCAAAGCTATCAGCGCAAAGAAAAAAAGAGACGCACCACTTTCCGGAGGGCCCGATCCTCCAACCTTTTGGGTAACAGCCGAACGCGCTAGCCACATGCGTCAAGGAGATAGTCATGTTCCACTCTCACCACCCTCAGAACATTCCTCCAAAGCCATCTGCGCAAAGAAGAAAAGAGACACACCGCTCTCGGGAGGGCTCGATCCTCCAACCTTTTGGTTATTGCGCCAAGGAGACAGTCGTGCTCTATTCTCACTACGGTCATAACATTCCTCAAAGGTATTAGTGCAAAGAAAAAAAGCGACACACCGCTCCCGGGAGAGCTCGAACCTCAAGCCTTTCGGTTAACATCCGATCGCGCTAGCCATTTGCGCCACGGAGACAGTCGTGCTCATCTCTCACCACGGTCAGAATATTTCTCCAAAGCTATCAGCGCGAAGAAAAAATAAGAAACACACCGCTCTCGGGAGAGCTCGAACCTCCAATCTTCCGGTTAACAGCCGATCACGCTAGCCAATGGCGCCCAGAGACATTCGTGCTCATCTGTCACCACGGTCAGAACATTTCTGGAAAGCTATCAGCGCAAATTAAAAAATGACACACTGCTCCCGGGAGAGCTCGAACCTCAAACCTTTCGGTTAACAGCCGATCGCGCTAGCCAATTGCGCCACGGACACAGTCGTGCTCATCTCTCACCACGGTCAGAATATTTCTCCAAAGCTATCAGCGCGAAGAAAAAAATAGGAGACACACCGCTCTTGGGAGGGCCCGAACTTCTAACGTTTTGGTTAACAGCCGATCGCGCTAGCCAATTGCGCCAAGGACATTGTCATGTTCTACTCTCACCAAGGTCATAACATTCCTCAAAGGTATCAGCGCAAAGAAAAAAAGCGACACACCGCCCCCCGGAGGGCTCGAACTTCCAACCTTTCGTTTAATAGCTAAATGCGCTAGCCAACAGTGCCACGGAGAAACTCGTGCTCCACTCTCACCACCGTCAGAACATTTCCCCAAAGCTATCAGCACAAATAAAAAAAACGACACACCACTCATGGGAGGGCTCAAACCTCCCATCTTTCGGTTAACAGCCAATCGCGCTAGCCCATTGCGCGACAGAGACAGTCGTGCTCCACTCTCACCATCGTCAGAACATTTCTACAAAGCTATCAGCGCAAAGAAAAAAAAAGAGACACACCGCTCTCGGGAGGGCTCGAACCTCCAACGTTTTGGTTCACAGCCGAACGCGCTAGCCAATTGCGCCACGGAGACAGTCGTGCTCATCTCTCACCAAAGTCAGAACATTTCTTCAAAGCTATCAGCGCAAAAAAAACGACCCACCGGTCCTGGGAGGCTTTGCACCTCCAACCTTTTGTGTAACAGCCGAACGCGCTAGCCAATGGCGCCACGGAGATATTCGTGCTCCACTCTCACCACCGTCCGAACATTTCTACAAAGCCATCAGCGCAAAGAAAAAAAGAGACACACCACTCTCGGGAGGGCTCGAACCTCCAACCTTTTGGTTAACAGCTGAACGCGCTAGCCAATTGCGCCCGGGAGATAGTCTTGCTCCACTCTCACCACCGTCGGAACATTTCTCCAAAGCTATCAGCGCAAAGAAAAAAAAAGAGACACACCGCTCTCCAGAGGGCTCGAACCTCCAACCTTTTGGTGATTGCACCAAGCAGACAGTCGTGCTCTATATTCACCACGGTCATAACATTCCTCAAAGGTATAAGCGCAAAGAAAGAAAGCGACACACCGCTCTCGAGAGAGCTCGGACCTCCTACCTTTCGGTTAACAGCCGATAGCGCTAGCCAATTGCGCCTCGGAGTAAGTCGTGCTCCACTCTCACTACCGTCAGAACATTTCTACAAAGCTATCAGCACAAAGAAAAAAAAAGAGACACACCGCTCTCGGAAGGGCTTGAACCTCCTACGTTTTGGTTCACAGCCGAACGCCCTAGCCAATTGCGCTACGGAGATATTCGTGCTGCACTCTCACCACGGTCAGAACGATTCTTGAAAGCTATCAGCGCAAAGAAAAAAAAGACACACCGCTCTCGGGAGGGCTTGAACCTCCAACGTTCTGGTTCACAGCCGAACGCGCTAGCCAGTTGCGCCACGGAGATATTCATGCTCCACTCTCACAACCGTCAGAACATTTCTACAAAGCTATCAGCGCAAAGAAAAAAAGAGACACACTGCTCCCGGGAGGGCTTGAACTTCCAAACTTTCAGTTACAAATGTTCGCGCTAGCCAATTCTGCCACGGAAACAGTCGTGCTTCACTCTCACCACCGTGAGAACATTCCTTCAAAGCTATCAGCGCAAAGAAAAAAATGAGACGCACCACTTTCCGGAGGGCTCGATCTTCCAACCTTTTGGGTAACAGCCGAACGCGCTAGCCAAATGCGTCACGGGGATAGTCATGTTCCACTCTCACCACCCTCAGAATATTCCACAAAAGCCATCTGCGCAAAGAAGAAATGAGACACACCGCTCTCGGGAGGGCTCGTACCTCCAATCTTTCGGTTAACAGCCGATCACGCTAGCAATGGCGCCACAGAGACATTCGTGCTCATCGGTCACCACGGTCAGAACATTTCTTGAAAGCTATCAGCGCAATAAAAAAAAACGACCACACCGGACCCGGGAGGGCTCGAACCTCCAACCTTTCCTTTCGGATAACAGCCGAACGCGCTAGCCAAATGCGTCACGGGGATAGTCATGTTCCACTCTCACCACCCTCAGAACATTCCAGAAAAGCCATCTGCGCAAAGAAGAAATGAGACACACCGCTCTCGGGAGGGCTCGTACCTCCAATCTTTCGGTTAACAGCCGATCACGCTAGCCAATGGCGCCACAGAGACATTCGTGCTCATCGGTCACCACGGTCAGAACATTTCTTGAAAGCTATCAGCGCAAATAAAAAAAACGACACACCGGACCCGGGAGGGCTCGAACCTCCAACCTTTCGGATAACAGCCGATCGCGCTAGCCAATAGCGCCACGGAGACAGTCGCGCTCCACTCTCATGACGGTCAGAACATTTCTCCAAAGCTATCAGCGCGAAGAAAAAATAAGACACACCGCTCTCGGAAGGGCTCGAACCTCTAACATTTTGGTTAACAGCCGAACGCGCTAGCCAATTGCGCCACGGAGATAGTCGTTCTCCACTCTCACCAGCATCATAACATTCCTCAAAGGTATCAGCGCAAAGAAAAAAAGCGACACACCGCCCCCGGGAGGGCTCGAACCTCCAACCTTTCGCTTAACAGCTAAACGCGCAAGCCAACTGTGCCACGGAGAAACTCGTGCTCCACTCTCACCACCGTCAGAACATTTCTTCAAAGCTATCAGCGCGAAGAAAAAAAAGGGACGCACCACTTATGGGAGGGGTCGAACCTCCAACCTTTTGGTTAACAGCCGATCGCGCTAGCCAATTGCGCCAAGGACATTGTCTTGCTCAACTCTTCCCATGGTCATAACATTCCTCAAAGGTATCAGCGCAAAGAAAAGAAGCGACACACCGCCCCCAGGTGGGCTCGAACTTCCAACCTTTCGTTTAACAGCTAAACGCGCTAGCCAACTGTGCCACGGAAAAACTCGTGCTCCACTCTCACCACCGTCAGAACATTTCCCCAAAGCTATCAGCACAAATAAAATAAACGACACACCACTCATGGGAGGGCTCAAACCTCCCACCTTTCGGTTAACAGCCAATCGCGCTAGCCAATAGCGCCACGGAGACAGTCGTGCTCCACTCTCACCCCGGTGAGAACATTGCTCCAAAGCTATCAGCCCGAAGAAAAAGAGACACACTGCTCTCGGGAGGGCTCGAACCCTCAACGTTTTAGTTAACATCCGAACGTGCTAGCCAATGGCGCCACGGAGATATTTGTGCTCAACTCTCCACCATCAGAACATTTCTCCAAATCTATCAGCGCAAAGAAAAAAAGCGACACACCGCTAATTGGAGGGCTCGAACCTCCAACCTTTTGGATATTGCGCGAAGGAGACAGTCGTGCTCTATTCTCACCACGGTCATAACATTCCTCAAAGGTATCAGCGCAAAGAAAAAAAGCGACACACCGCTCCCGGAAGAGTTCGAACCTCCAACCTTTTGGTTAACAGCCAATCGCGCTAGCCAATTGCGTGACAGAGACAGTCGTGCTCCACTCTCACCACCGTCAGAACATTTCTACAAAGCTATTAGCTGAAAGAAAAAAAAGAGACACACCGCCCTCGGGAGGGCTCGAACCTCCAACGTTTTGGTTCACAGCCAAACGCGCTAGCCAATTGCGCCACGAAGACAGTCGTGCTCATCTCTCACCACGGTTACAACATTTCTTCAAAGCTATCAGCGCAAAAAAAACAACCCACCAGTCCCGGGAGGGCTCGAACCGCCAACCTTTCGGTTAACAGCCGATCGCACTGGCCATTAGTGACACAGAGACAGTCGTGCTCCACTCTCACCACAGTCAGAGTATTTCTCCAAAGCTATCAGAGCGAAGGAAAAATAAGAGACACACAACTCTCGGGAGGGCCCGAACCTCTAACGTTTTGGTTACAGCCGAACGCGCTAGCCAATTGCGCCACAGAGACATTCGTGCTCATCTCTCACCACGGTCAGACCATTTCTCGAAATCTATCAGCGCAAACAAAAAAACGACACACCGGTCCCGGAAGGACTCGAACATCCAACATTTCGGTTAACAGCCGATCGCGCTAGCCAATAGCGCCCCGGAGACAGTCGTGCTCCAATCTCACCAGCATCATAACATTTCTCAAAGGTATCAGCGCAAAGAAAAAAAGCGACACACCGCTCATGAAGAGCTCGAACCTCCAACGTTTCGGCTAACAGCCGTTCGCGCTAGCCAATTGCGCCACGGCTCCACTCTCACCACCGCCAGAACATTTCTGCAAAGCTATCAGCGCGAAGAAAAAAAGGGACACACCACTCATGGGAGGGCTCGAACCTCCAACCTTTTGGTTAACAGCCGATCGTGCTAGCCAATGGCATCAAGGAGGCAGTCGTGCTCTACTCTCACAACGGTCATAACAATCCTCAAAGGTATCAGTGCAAAGAAAAAAAGCGACACACCACTCCCGGGAGAGCTCGAACATCAAACCTTTCGGTTAACAGCCGATCGCGCTAGCCAATTGACTACGGAGACATTCGTGCTCATCTCTCACCAGGGACAGAATATTTCTCGAAAGCTATCAGCGCAAATAAAAAAAAGCGACACACCGGTCCCGGGAAGGCTCGAACCTCCAACCTTTCGGTTAACAGCCGATCGCGCTAGCCAATAGCGCCACGGAGACAGTCGTGCTCCACTCTCACCATGGTCAGAGTATTTCTCCAAAGCTATCAGAGCGAAGGAAAAATAAAAGACACACCACTCTCGGGAGGGCCCGAACCTCCAACGTTTGGTTCACAGCCGAACGCGCTAGCCAATTGCGCCACGGAGATATTCGTGCTCCACTCTCCCCACCGTCAGAACATTTCTACAAAGCTATTAGCGCAAAGAAAATAATAGGCACACTGCTCCCGGGGAAGGCTCGAACCTCCAACCTTTCAGTTAACAGTTGTTCGCGCTAGCCAATTCTGCCAAGGAAACAGTCGTGCTCCACTCTCACCACCCTGAGAATATTCCTCCAAAGCTATCACGCAAGGAAAAAGAAGAGACACACCGCTCTCGGGAGGGCTCGAACCTCCAA